CAGCACTGGGTTGTATTTAACCCAGCATTTTTTAGAGTGTACGCATGAGCCTAACGAAAGATCCTGTATTAGTGATCAATAACTGCAGATCTCTGATGATTCATATGCTAAACTCATCATAACAAACCCGTGCTGTTTTAAGCGCAACCCAGACCAGAATAAAGCGGGTGCGATTGCGATCGCATGTGGCCTCAGATCTGGTCTATTATAACCCGAACATCTGTCTGAGATCCGTTTATACGTGCAGAGCCGGTTCTGCTCATAAATCAGCTCTCGATCCATCTTCATTTACGAACAAATGATCTCGTTCTTCTCCATATGGGCTCCAGATCCGCGTCTCCTCCGGATTTGACCCGATCCGTTCATCAGAATCTCATCAGTGCATCACACCGAATCAGATGGGACGATTTTCTCCAGCAAAGCGATTCGCGCAGGTCTGGTCAAAGCGAGGATTCCTTGCTAGATATGAAATCAGGGAATATGTGCGCTCACGGATCTCTAGGAATAAACGGGACGCACATGAGCCATGATGAATTCATTTATCCAGGCTCATCCTGAATACGACATCTCACATGCATTCGAATTCGTGTGAGGCAGAGCCTGTTATACCACAGCATGGACGCAGAAAGGAGGAAAAAGGAATCAGTCACCTGTGATGTGAAGCGTCTCCGCCGAACCGTGACGACGAACCGGAGGTCCAGAATAAAGGACGCCAAAACGACTGAATAAGCGAAGTGTTTCCTAGATCACATTCCTGACTCTAAACGAGCAGATGAGTCGGAATTCATCGTGTTCTGCTTTATATGAGCTCTATTGGCTGTTGCTCGTGTTGTGCGCATCCTCCGCCGCGCGACTGTTGCTCATGTGTGTGTGTGTGTGTGTGTGTGTGTGTGTGTGTGAAGCTCTATTTACCGAAACAGCTACAGCATGAGAAAATCAGATTTTCCGTCCAGATGAACTCGTGCATGACTTCCACCACTCAGAAATCCTATAAAGAGACGCGTATAGTAGTCATATTGCTTATATAAAAAAATATAGGATATGTATAATAATGTAGCTATAGCCTAATACATTATAAAACATGACTAAAACAAAAGCAATAATAAATATAGCTGCAAGCAGCAATTGCCGGGGTTCAAGCACTTTAAGGCCTTGAAGGTGGTATGCTTTTAGGGACTAGACCAACCTGGATGTATGGCTGACAGTAAAACACATCCAAAATGGAGAATAGGCTCACAGACACAGACACACACAGAAATGAAATGAAATGGTTAAACTACTATATTAATACTTAATAAGCATACTTACACACACACAGACACAGACATAAATTCACACACATTTTGTTACAGATATAGATATTTGACATAAATGATAGGTGACACAATACTTATTGCAAGTCGTCTCTTTTTAGGAGTTTATATGTCATTTTCAGGTTTCACTGTAATCATAATCTGGGATAATTGTAAAAACTAATATGTCTGTATGAACAAAATGGTTAACTGTGACTAAATGTGATTTTAAATGTTATAACAGTGATTTTATACTGTCTAAGCATGAATCCATCAAACCTATGAACAGTACTGTTGACAGCATTGGTCCCAGAGGTAAAGTTGTTCAGAATGAGGAGCTCTATCATATGAGATGAAGATCTAGTGTTCGTGTAAATATATGAGAATTTTTTTAGCAATTTGAGGCCTTTTACCATTGAAATCTTGTGTTTTTGAAGCCTTTTTAACTGTTATTGCGCCACCTATGGTCCGATCTCCACGAAACTTTGCATGCTTGTTAAGAGTCATCTGACACATGTTTTCCCCACGTTTCAAAAAGTTTTGAGTTTTTGTTTAGGTTTTATAGGCTTTGAGGTATATTTGACCACGCCCCATTTATAATGGAGAATATTTCTGCAGTGGTTTGGTTCCGATCGGGCAAAAAACCAAGGACTAGTTCGCAAAAGTAGGTTTTGGACATAAATCAAATTTGCGGAAAAACGAGACTTCCTAGACCCAAAATCACAAGAGACCATTTTTAATTTGCCTTGACCCAAGGATTCCAAAAATGTAAAATTTTTGAGTCTACGACAAGTGGTTTAGGAGTTATTAGCACTTACGCGTTTTTGATCGCTGTAGCGCCACCTATTGGCCGATTGGGGTGAGTCTTTGTCAGAATGTCCCCTCAGGGAGCTCTACCTTCTGGCCAAATTTCAGCTCTCTAGGCCTTACGGTTTGGTCTGCACGATCAGTTTTAGCGGAGAAAAATAATAATAATAAAAAAAATTCTAACAATTACAATAGGGTTTCAGCACTGCGTGCTTGAACCCCTAATAACAATAACATTACAAGGTTTCATTTGTCAACATTAGTTAAATACATTAGTAAACATGAATTAACAATGAATGCTTCTATTGCACTTCTTAACCCTCTGGTGTTGTTCGGTCATTTTAGACCGGAAAAAATGTTTTGAAATTTAAAAAATCTCTAGGCCTACTTCATCGGAATGGTATACGAAACTCGGTATGTGACCAAAAAAAACAAAAAAAAAACACCGTGGACTTGATTCGAAAAAGCTAAATGTTGATTAAAAAAAACGTCACACTTGTTTTGACGCCATCGGAAATGAATGGGAAATACGCAAAAATACTGAGAATTTTTTGTGTGTACAATCTACAAATCATTCACGATGCAGAAAAAAAGTGTACAGCAATGAAGGGGTGACACTAAAATATCAAGAGTACAAAACAGACACACACACCACACACCACACTATTACACACACACACACACACACACACACACACACACAAATTAACTGCTGTGGCTGTAACAATATGGATTTCTGTTCATTTGGGTTATATTTTTGTTTATGTTTGATGTTATATGTAACAAAATGTCTTTCTGTGATCAGGTTTGACTGTAGTAAAATTAATGCAAAAATTTCAACCCTCCAATTTCAATTCCATTTCAATTAAAATGAATAAAGTTGCTATTTTATCAACAGACATTAAATTAAATTAATAAATGATATAAACAACATTTGATAACAAATGAAACCTTTTTTTATAACGTAACTATTTTATTTTTAAGCAATATGATGATATATTCCGAACAACACCATGCTTGTTAGTGTGGTACTGCATTATATAAAAAGTAGTTAGTAGTAACTTACTTTTCAGTCAAAAATGCCTGGTTAGTTTTAATATTTCTTCAATGCCTATGAAAATGCCAAAGCATCAAGCTTTGCGTGTCTGAAATGCAATCTAGAACAGCGTATGTAAGTGGTTTTCCATTTCCACGGCCTGGTAAGAGAAACAGTGATGTTTCTCGCTCCGCTTGAGTTCCCCTTACGAAAAAGAAGTTTATTCAAGTGTGCTATTAGTATACTTCTTTTAAACTAAAACATAGGAAAGTATACTTTTAGTCTACTTTTTACTACATAAAGTATACTTAAAAATATACTTGAACTTTACTTCAGTACACTTAATAAAATAAACTTGAAGTATACTATCACCTCATGTTTGCGGCTAAATACAAATGATCATAATTGATGGACAACTAGGCTATACCCGGGAAAAGACATGAGCACTTGAGCAGTCCGGCGCAGAGAAAAGAAAAATAACAAAGCCCAAGATGAAGCCCGTGCATCACTTTTAGCTAACTTATGTTCATAATCCTGTGAAACTTTTTTGGCTGTTGACGTTAACGTTAATAACGTGTCTTAGTGTCAGTAATAATTTCACCACCACCGCATCTGCTTTAATATTCTAGTTTCCATGACTTAAAATGCATTATATAAAAACAATGAGGCAATAATGATTGGTTAATTAATAATAATCATATGGTTTCAGTGAATAACACTGTTAAAATACATAATGTAATACAAAATAAACAATTTATGTACATTACATTCTTACAAATGCCTGCAAAGGGCGCCAAAGGCCTGATAATTGTTGTTGTTACACTTACAGGATGATCAAATCCTTGTTTAATAATGAACAAACATTTAATTCAAACATCCACTTAATCTTTCATTTTTGGCCACCTTTTTGTGATAGAAATGCTACAGCCTCTTTAATTTCTCCGACAAAAACATGTGGACATCACAACCCTTACCAAAATTAACCATGGTTTTATCATAGTAAAACTGCTTAATTTTCTTTTGTGTGATTTCTGAATGCTTGAGACTATAAAATCAATCAGACAACTGTATTAATAACATCATAGCCATAGGTAACTGTCTAGGGCTACAATTGTAATTTATATATAATACAATTTAATTACAATTTATTTATGTACTTTTATATTTTATTAAAGTTCTATTTTGATTCTTTATAGGTGTTTTTTTTTTGTTTTGTTTTTTTACTTCGGTAATATTTGAGGGAGGGGGCACAACAATATAATCTGCTTAGGGCACCCATTTGGCCAGCAGCGGCCCTGGTAAGCACAGATGAGTGAAGTGAAGTGATACCGACTGAGAAACATCCCAGTGCTGTCTTACTGTACCCTCCTTCAGCAAGAACCTTCAGGGTCCGTTTAAAGACATTATGAGGCAGGATCCCAACAGGGTGACAAGAGGACTTTACGTTTGTATGGAAGTCAGTGGTGGAGATGTTCATCAGTAGATATTTATATTACCGGAGTCTGCTATCAAAAAAAAACAAATAAAAACAACAGCTGTTTTTTTAAAGGGGTCATATGCTGTTGCTAAAAAGAACATTATTTTGTGTATTTGGTGTAATGAAATGTGTTTATGCGGTTTAAGGTTCAAAAAACACATTATTTTCCATATACTGTACGCTATTGTTTCTCCTCTATGCCCCGCCTTTCTGAAATTTTTACAAAGCTCATCGGTCTGAAAAGCGAGGTGTGCTCTGATTGGCCAGCTATCCATGCATTGTGATTGGCCGAATACCTCAAGCGTGTGACGGAAATGTTACGCCCCTACCATACTGTGATGCCGTGTCCCGGCCGGAGCGACCAACTTTACAGATCTTCTTTATGCACCAAGAGCTTGTAACACTCCAAAGAGAAAGGAAAACTTGAAATCGCATCATATGACCCCTTTAAAGAGAAAATAACAGAAATAAAGTAGTAAAGAAGAAGAAATGAAAATGAAAAACTGCATATTGTTAAAAAACAATGTGATAGTCTTAAAATGTATATTTTATATATACTGTACATTTGTTTTTTTGATGATGATAAATAAATCCAGAGATGATTTGATGATGTGTAAAGAGCATCTACAACATATAAAATGTAACATTACTTTAATTTCAGACATTATTGAAACAGGACTTCACTGAAGAAGCTCACTGATCACCCTAACAACTGGACTAAACCTCTAAAAATGTTTTTATCGAGTCAAGTCAAATTTATTTGTGTAGCACTTTTACAATACTTCAAAACAGCTGTACAGAAAGTCATACTGTAAGGTCTACTGCCTTTAACACAGAGCAAGTTTTAGGGCTGGGTGATATGATGATACTGTACATAACAATGATATAAGTGATCCTCCAGATTCAGATATAACACACACACACACACACACATCAGAACATCGCATGAACTTTAGTTGTGTAATTCAATTGAATCAGTTCACTGACTTTACCATTGCAGATCATACTGTATTAGCAATTTCCATTCTGAATGCTTTCAACAGACACCGACATTAAAAATCCCACTGTGAGCAGCAGCATTAAATTACTAACTGAACATTCAGAGCTCAAATGATCTGAAATGTTCTTTAAAATAAATACATGTTGCATTGAATAAATGTTAAATAAAAGGTGAATTAAATAAAATATCAGACATGCATCACTGCAGCACTGATAAATGTGCTAGACAGCACTA